TTGTTTGCACTACTCTACGAGTTCTTAACGTCGTTATTCCGCCGAGATTCTGAAAACGGACGTGTGCTGCGGGAAGTATCATGCTCCTGCCTCCGTGAATTACCAACTTCAAACTACGAAACGTCACGTGTCAAAGATGGAGTAGGATAATGCACAGCCTGGTAACAACAGGCAGACAGCTGACAGAATGACGTCAGATTAATAGCAGCGATTTTAACAATAAGCGCAACAACAAAATCAATCCCTGATACAGGATTTTTATGTATTCAAATGTTGATGTAATGTGACGTGCTTCTGAAATCAGCATTCATTACAATTACCACACAAAACCGCGAGTTAAATTACCATGTTCTTTGACGTTACCGTGTTATGTAAGTCAGTCTGAAAACATAACTGCACGACGTCTTGCAATATACATAGTTCATTAATAATTCCTGTTGCCGTCACATTAGCCAAGATAAGTATGTACACATACATACCACCCACTTTAACCTACTTCATGAAACCACTATGAAAAAAAATAGTTCGGAATAAATTACGTATAATTTGTTACACTGGCCTTAAATTTACTTAATTCTCCTGTTAATTCATCAACATGAATAAAATCACCGTCGGTAACAGAAAAATAATAATTTTAAAAGCACCGGATCGTTTTATCCGAAATTTCAACCTGATTACCGGCTTTCGTAAGCAAGAATTTCGCAGTTCTCGTCATTCTATCTAGAAAAACTCTGAGACAGCGCCTTAAAATAGGCCACTACTACTTCTGACTCCTCTACATAATTTTCCCCTTCCCGTATCACTCGATATCATTTAACTTTCATAACTGAAACATGGTTGTCAAACCTCCAAAAACTAATTATGCATAGACTGAAGTCAGGAACGGGATTTGTTCACTAACTATGAATAAGTTCACGGATTTCGGATAAAGGAGACGGCCTTCAGGTAGGTATGGTAGCTGGGAATTTACTGACTGCCAATAAGGGGTAGTCCTCCACGTTGGTGCTTGGGTGGGAGTTTAAACAATCACATGTTAGCATGCTACGACTTGCTAACAACGGCCTCGAACTTAGAATTCTTTAACAGTAAGCAATGGAAATAAGGTATTAGATTTGGGACCTGACGTCTCTACAAATCAGGTTTACAGAGGTGAGTAGCTGATTACAATTTCGAAGTTGACACTAAACGATGACACGATTATACATTATTCTATGGTCACACCAAGGAGAATAATAAATGCACGAGTTAAATTTTCAACAAGAAACTTCAAGTGACGTAAATGACAGGATAATATGATAATAAATTATAAATCTGGCGAGTGTGTAAAATAGATACATCTGACCTGTGGCGGGCTCTTGTAAACAGAGTAATGAAGCTTAGGGTTCCATGAAATTCAAAACCATTTATTGGCCAGTTCAACCACTATTAGCTTCTTAAGATGTACTTTGTTCAATGGAATTATTCTCAGTCAGAGGGGAACTGGGGTCTCGGGTTCGATTCCCGGTGGTGCCCGAATTTATAACTTGTGTTGGGCAAGGCCGTGGTCTAGGCAACACGGAGTTTTCCTCCGGGGGCTTCCCCGGTTTCTCCGTGGCATCCCAACAATTACTCCATTCACACACAGAAGAAGGCAATGGCAAACCACTTCTGGATCATCTGCCAAGAACGTATATGAACAGGTCCCAGTCCGAGAAAAGGATGGAAGGATCCTGTTCATATGGACCTGTCGTCAGACAGAACACTAAATAAAATAAATAAGAGGGGAACGGGAGATGGGACAACATTTTCGTTCGGAAGTTTCTTGAAAAGAGCTCAAATGAACGTACCTGGATGCAAATTGAACGGTAATATTGCATCGGGTATTTTATGTAATCTACAGGCCGTAGAAATATGAACTGAACTGAAGATATGATGCTTTTGTGGCGACGGTAACAATATTAATTTTCTATGACACCGAGGAATTTCTTGATCTAAAGGTTAAGAAATATCGAGCGCAGTCCCGTTAAGGACAATACTGTTACTAGACAAGACCTTTCTGAATTATAAAATTGTCTCATATATCTGTAAACATTCATCAGCACGCTATTCTGTCACACTGTCTCTTGCTATTCATGTTATTGTTTCCATGCCAACAGACTAACAGAAACCCACACAATACGGAATTAAGAGACTCAGCTAGGAATTTGAGAAATTTATAATTGCGAGGTTGTCGAATGGACTACCAGCCGCGGGAGATCAACTGGAACGGAGGGATTTGCAATTCCCTGAAGCTTACACAGAATTTTACAAAAATCCTTGGCTAATTGTTGGTTAATTTAACCACGCTTTTAAGATTACATTCCACAATTTGCAACCACAAATATCCTTGATCAGGAATAGATCTCCGAACAGAGATTCTTGTACAAAACATATTGTATAGGGTCGAGGGGGTTGGGTTCAGAACTCGACCGCGACTATGGGTTGTACAGTGCCGGTGTCTGGAATCGACTCATGGTCGAGTAAGCAACAAGATGAGCTGTTTAGGTTCACTGTTATTCTTAGGGCAGTAAACTGTAAAATTAAACAATGTTCATTAACCGCTGGTCTGAAGACAAGTGGTGTTGTGAACCTTCATTTTTTGTGGATCTGAAATTATGAAAGATACGATTTTAAAGCAAGGGATATTATATGTTTCCTATTAGGGACTTGTGCATCAAAACAGGGATCGGTGGCAGGTTCTTTTGAACACGGCTGTACACTTTCGGGGTTTCATGAAAATAGCGACTACCAACTTTTCAAGAACGACTGCTCCACAGAGTTAGTTAATTAGCGAGTCATAACTCGTGCTGAACATAGGCCTACTCTGTTACATAATGGAGCTCTGGGTTGTTTCGCCGTGTACGTATTCTTTTAGTTGTAGGCCAACACCAGAGTTTTGGGGGAAACATGCGGGCTCCTGCTTCAGAAGATGGAGACGGAATGTTCCTTTGAAACTCAACCAGAGAGCACAAAAACCAAGAAGACCTATAACTGAACTCATATCGCCGTATAAACTGCAAATGCTCTGACTTTATTCCTTTGTTCGCTTTAATTTTATGACCGGTGAAGAGGCTAGGAAGTGAACTCGAATTTCGGAATCGATCCCAACATACGTACGTGTGACAAACGATTTTGTGCGTCAGTAATAATTTTTAAATTCCAATGATCAGTGTCGCTGAATGTAATAACTCTACTTTAACACCACATAAAGACGTTACCTTTAATTTGTAAAAAAAACAAAAACCATCCACTAGCCTTTGTCCGTTCGTGGATCAGAAAATGTTGTTAACAGCTGGAAAAAAAACAACGTCTTTTCTCCCAGCTGGTGTTACCTGAAAAAACACCTCGCGGGCTCGAAACGTGAATTAGCGACGCTACAGAATATTTAGGTGACAGGCGTGACATATATTCACGACAGACTGCAGGATTCTGTTCGCAGTAAACCCGGGGCTTGCAGCTTCTAACTTCCAATAAAACCGATCACCTAAGTAGTATAACAATGTTGCAGTGCATGCGATGGAGATAATTATTACGTCTCACAAACTGTTACGGCTATAAGCCGAAGTTCGACAGAGGTAACAGACAGGCGTGACGATAGAAATTTTGTATTTCGCTCGGGGCACGAATATTTGTCTATTTCCTTCACGGAGACTGCTCCGTCATCAGGGCATTGATCACCCTGATGACGGAGGCAGCATGACCTTTGAAACGTGGTTGGAAATCTACCAACCTACTACCCAGAAGACATCAACGTGAAAACCTCAAATCTTACATACTTCCTTTATTGAGTTTTGGCAGACCCCGACGTTTCGGAGAAACACACTGTCTCCATTTTTATGACTTAGGTAACTTTAACCGACTGACTAATATATTAACTGGTTAAGTGATGGTGAAGTGCTATACTTTTGTAAGCCTTGAGCTAGAGAACTTGTATTTTGTATGCTCCATACTCAAATATTAATCTCAGTGTTTATAAAAGATCAGAAAAATAGACTATACATAAAGATGTTCTGAACCACTTAAATTAGTACAAATCTGCTATATACTGTACATTTTTAAATTATACATATATATTAGTCTGGAATGTTGGGTTTATGGACCTTATGCATCATCATATGTTATAAGAAACACGACGTTTTGAGGACTGAATCTTTCGTCGTTTTCAGATGCATGTTTTATGACATCATACGATGGACAACGTCCACAAACCCAGAAATCAAGATAGTATTACATCATCGTCAAAACCCTTCTGAATCGAAACACATGAATATTTTGTTTTAAAAGGCCTGAGCTTCGCACTCAGCCTAAACTGGCAAGCACTTGTTCGAAGTTTTCTATAACTACGGTTTTCTGATTCGTTTAATTAATGTGAGAGCTGTATATGATTTAGATAATTTCACCGACCGGCGACATTTATACAAAAACACCCTGTAATGCTTCGATCGGTAAGTTTCGTGCAAAATAATTAATGATGCTACAAGAAGACTGATGTAAATAACAAACAAGTGTTTAATTATGTGTTTGCTTACATTATGTAACGATACTGAAGGATAAACAGAAATATAGACCTACATGACTACAGAATTTTATATCACAAAATGAAACATTCGCTTGTTCTATGTACGTACGGTTATGCAGTGTGTCTGCCCGGCGTGTAGGTGAAATAGCTTGTGGTTGTTGTTTTTCAGATCACGTTAAACTCCCCCTCCACAAGGGATCAAAATATTTAGAGAGGATAACACGATATAACCCAGAAAATAAAAATAAAATTAAAAGGGAACAAATCAGAAGTACTACACAATATAAAACCAAAATCCGTTTAAATTGTGTAGAAATGGAACACGCAATAATTCAAAAGTCATATAAGTGATAATATCATTACTGAACGCAATTTTAGAATTACGGAACAAACTAACCAAAGAAATCGATACAAACAAGTACATTCGCACCGGTGGTCAGCGGCAGGTTGTAAATTTACTCACCGATTCTGGCAGCACTGGGACTAAGCAGCAAGAACAGATGAAAGGCGAGTCCCAGAAACAGCATCTTGCGTGATGAGAAGAAATCTGTAACAAAGAGAATTTCCTAATATAAATTAACACATCATATCACATGAAACAGATAACACACCGCACATCCTAAAAAGAACGGCATACAGGAGGATGATATTAAAATAAAATTAAAGAAACAGGTTGTAACTGTGGGCTGGATTTAAGTACCTCAGGATTCAGTCCAATTGTAAAATTAATTGAACTTCGGGTCTTATAAAGGCGAGAAATACACTGGCAAACCAAGCGACTATCAGCTTCTCTACAAGGGTTCCATTGAATAGAGTTCACGTATTAATTGAATTATCTAGAAGAAGTTCTGAAAATATAAAGAAGAAGGCGCTTTGCCAATAGACCATACTCGGGCCTATTTTATGGAGACACCAGCTTAGATCTCCACTGGAAAGAATGTCTTGTCTGGGATGATCTGTGGTGTCTGTCAGTAATTACATTCACACATACGCACAACCATGTCACGGCTCGTAATCACCGTCGCGCATCAATCTGCACAACTGAGACGACGTCGTTAAATAAAATATGAACCAACTAATCAAGAAGAACAAGGGTACAAAACTTATAAAACAGAAAACACAAATGCCCTAATTACAATAATTTAATAACTACGTGAATGTGATGAGTCACGATATAAACATTCGATTAAAGAAACAATACATCACACATACTTTCAGTTGTTAAAATCAATATTTAAGTGACAATTCGGAATGATTTTTGTTAGTTTTAGGGTTATGACTGTGGATGAAAAGAAGAAAAAGTGATTTTTATCGTGGTTGTACTTGGGCGTACTCTCTGCAGGAGAATGACGGGGTATTATCTTGTAACAGGCCAAGACAGACCCATTTTAAGAAAGCAAGCATTTGGAGAGTCCGCAATGGGTCGTGCACAAACTTTTGTGTGGCATTCACGTTTTAAAAATGGCCGAACCTCTGTCGATGATGACGAGCGTTCTGGACGCTGGGATCGTTGTGTTCACTCCCAGGGGAACTACTTCGAGGGTGATGGATGAATTTAATACCTGAGATAAGTGTACGGGTTTCTATACGCGCAGTCTTGAAACTTTCCGATCGCACCTCGTAGGACATATTAGTTGTTTAAACTAATCATTCCACATGATTCGACGCCATTCTATGTCTTTTAGTTGCATCAGCATCGTTAAATAACAGAGATTATTTTAGTGACATTACTTACAAGGAAAGTAACTTGCACTATCAGTGTTTCTCAACCGGTGGTTCGCAAAACGGTAATTGTCCGCGGCTTTACTTCCAATGAGTCGCAGATTTTAGCGAACGTCATATTACACAATTTGTTTCATCACAGTTCTAAAACTGACTGTTCTTGATACAGAATATCGCTAATTAAATCAATCATGATTACGTCTCCTTGGTCCTTTTCATATGTCGTCGTTCACAACCACATTTTTACTAACGAAAATTCAGTGCGCGTTGCCGTAACGTCTCCTCGATTTTAATAAAATATGAGATCGACAACAAAGTAATCCCATAAAGCAGAGCGCGTCTGGAGAAGATAGTCTAAGGCATTTAGCAAATTTCCAGCCTCTTATAGAATCCGAAATTTCATTACTGCGTGCTTATGCGTCCGCTACTGTGCCCCCATACCGAGTCAGATAAAAACAGTCCGTGTCCTCAGAAACTTTTCATTTCAAATCCGTTTTAATATCACCCTCTCATTTTAATCTTAGATCTCCTCTTCAGGTTCTTCGAATAAAGACTTTGTACACATTTGTCACATACATAAAACATGCTCGGACAAATTCCAACCTACATGATTTGATCAACATGAAAATATTTGAAGACGAATACCAATTATGATGCTCCTGAACATTATTATTTATACCACTTAACAATTTGAAACAAAGTACCAATATTTGAAATACCCACTGATGTTTAACTGGTCCATGAATCAGAAGACGTTGAGAAATTGTAATATTTAGATTGTGGTGTTCTGGCTTCTGACACCTTGTAGTCTTATATGTGGTATCTAACGTTCGTAGTATGAAACCACCTACAAAGCGTCCCAAGACAAAGAACTCAATCTTACAGCTGAGTGATTAATATTTTTCTTTCTTATCAGGAAGGTCCCTGGTTAAAATATCGGCTGGGAGACTGACTGCGATTTGAATAGATTTCCTTAGGAAAATGCCAAGATATTTTATAAGTTCAAGCCCCACTCGATTCCTTCCATATTAATATAATTCATTTAATTATTAATTAACCGTCCTAACAACCGGCTCTTTAAAGTCTGGGGTACTGACAGGGTACTTAGGTACTTAAATAAGTCATATACACAAACACAATCGAAGATTCACCACAAACACTACTTCAAATCTCAGACTGTAATATGTGACGAGCTATTTTTCTCAATCCAGATAGGTACCAGCTCTTGGCTGTGATCTCTATCTCTATCTCTCTTTTTCATTTTAGCGTATAATCTGGAACATTAAATTGCTTTGAGGGTTAACTTTGCAGCATCTATCACAAAATCTCTGTAATCACAACCTTTAAAGGCGTCGACTTCAGTTTGCTTCACTGACCGGGTAAGAATCTAAAATTTTCATTTTCTATACAACTTCGCTAACTTTTCAAAAAATTATCGAGGTTGAAACAGAAGTTTCTAACAGAAATTAGGCCGAGGGGATGGGATAGGCATCACTGCGCTGCATTTAAAATAATTCCTGTTTAATTACTCCCTCATGAATATTGGAACGCAGAAGCAAGAGAAAATTTTCCATTAGCTTCTCCTCTGAGTCTGTGCTGCCTTCATTTAACAAAGCGTGGAGGAACTGCTGTCATGGAAACCATGTTCTTCTATTAGGCGTTCTTTACGCGACATGAAAACAGAAGGAGAAAGAGGCACTCTTAGTTCTTTGAAAAGCCTATTTTGCTTATATAATAGGACGCGACGTTAATTCATTACAGCTACAAATCTATTGTTTTGAAGCTAATGAACAACCCTATACTACGTGAGCATTCCAGCACACAGAGTTTTACGGGACGCATCCTGTTGTGTGTTGAAAGTCAGGTTGCCAATCCATCTACAAAACAATTCTTGACTATAGTTTCAATATTTATTAAGGATCCGCTGAATGTTTCAACCTTAATTGGTCATCTTCAGGTTGTTTCCTTCAATATTTCGAAATTAATATACAAACTAGCAGTTATAATCTATTAGATTCAAACACTTGAAGAGAACCACCTGCAGATGACCAATTAAGGTTGAAACATGTAGAGGATTCTAAATAAAAATTAAAAATATATTCAAGAATTTATGTTAACCTGACATACCGGTACATCATTGTCCATTGTATTTTGTAGGCACGTCTAAAGCAACGAGGAACAATTGTAAAGGTTAACTATGCGGTAACTCTTGTTTGTATCACATGCAAATATTTTGTGTGAAAAGCAGTTTTCAGAAACCTACAGTTTCATTTGAGCTTAGCGTATTGAAATTTGACGAAAAATATTTTGCCCAAACTATAATACTAAATTTAATCGAAATTCGCAGAGTACATCTACTTTCATAGCTGAATCACGCATAAAACTAACCCTTCTTTACCTGCCTGTTTGTACGTTTTTGTGTGGCTTCATTTAACTCTGTACACTGTCATTAAATCTGAATTAAAATTTGGGTCATAATTTTAACGACAATGCAACAAATTCGGAGATAATTAACTTGTGAATTACATATCCAAGGCTGTTGTCAATATATCCATGCGTCTAGAACGATTTCATTAAGGCGAAAGGTTGGAACAGGGGATAGGTCAGAGGTCAAACTAAACTATAGGCAGCATTGCTCATAAGATACGGGGTCGAATGGGGCGCAGGGGACTGTGATTACAAGATAACTTCTTCGGAGCCCTGAGAGCTTATTCAATTCACTCCATCCTTAAATGATCAGGGACGGGTTTTGACTTCACAATTATGATGCGAGCCGAGGTTCAAGTGCAGTTCTTGTGTTTGCTAGATAATGCCGAATGATAGTTTCATTGGTACGTTATTTCATTCTTTATAAAACGGTGGTAACTATATGTACCACATTTTAATTACCAGTAACGTGTCACTTTTCTGCTTAGTCCATATATGGATTTTATTTGGTTCTCACACTAAACAGCGATTGCATCCCTAAACACGCATTAAACAAATTATATTTTAGAGCGTTTTATTGGTGGTAGAATTCGAGATTTAAATATTAATTGCAATTTATCGACATGGTTAATTAAAGCCTGCATCTACAGTTATTAATATACTATTTCTTTTATAAATCGATACTGGGTTGGTGATTTTGTTCAGGTGCTGAGCAGTAACTTATGAAGCTGAGTGTTTAATTCAGTGGCATCCACGTCGATATCGCATTGCATTTTAAGGGAACTCTTTATTTATAATCTACATAGATTATTATTGCCTAAGACAAACTGGAAATAATGGGAGGGGAAAGTGGACGAGGAGTGTAATTCTGAAGGGGTTGAGGGAAGTCAAGTCAGCCAGAATTTGTCCAAAGCTCAAAGTTCAAGCCTCGTACCCTCCTAAAAAACAAATCAGAAGCACTAACTATTTAACTGACGTGCTGAGTATTGGATATGCATGTTCGAAAACCAATACAGGCCACACAGGCGATGACCGTCTACAAATTTGTGAGGATGAGAACCGAAATGAACAGATTTAACGTAGGGTTCAATCACTGATAAATGTCTATTTGATTAAACTTCAGTTTCATAAGAATAGAGAATTCCGTTATCATGTATTCAGGGAAAGTCTGATGCCAACTTTGCCTAGTCGTGTAATTACTGAGTTAGTTTCCTGGCATGTTAAAAACGTTATATGGTTCATAGTCCTATTTGTTAACACTTATGTTCTAATCAAGCCTTCATTGCAAGTTTCTTTCTTGGCAGCATAAAATCCGCCGATTTCTTCGGCTATAATATTCAATTGTATAAGGAAATGGCGGGAAGAAATTACTCTAATTTAATGTCGAAATGGCATTTG